ACCCTACTCGTCATGGATTAGCTCCACTGTTCACGGCTACTCACTAGAACTCCAAGAATTCCAGTCTTAACATTAAGTAATATCTTTCATTCAAGAAAAAGAAATAGAATCTTTCCATTTGGGTGGATGGTTTATTTCGTTTGAATTGGTTTAAATAATGTATCCAATTTAAATTTTATGTTTCTATTTCAATTAATCTTAATCAACAATAGATTACTTTGTGGATTCTTTCAGAATAAGGCCATAGAAATAAAAGATTTATTTTTTATTTAGCATAAAATCTAATATGAAATGACCTCATCGTCAATAGATTAAAATTTCTTCTAAATTATTTTTTATTAAGATATTTAACACTGGATAATTATCAGTATCGAATGAGGGGTGGGAGTAGGGGATAGAAACACTTTCTTATGAAAAATTAATGTCACTTAATAGAGAGGTTTAAATAGATTTGGTGGTGTAATCTATAAGGAACATTTTATTTTAGTATAGGGGTTGTGGAGATTATTCCCTCACGAGGGAATTCTCGGAGTTCTACTGAGAAGTCGTGAACAGTGTAGCTAATCCACGTCGGGTAGGGTCAGGTATCTACCTCAGTACAATGGAAGATGGTCGCGCAATTTCGTGTATTGGTTGATGTTAGACACTATCACCATTGGATGCCAGCTCAATGGTCCAGTAGGTTAAGCGTTCGCGCGCGAGGCCGAAGGCCCTGGGTTCGAATCCCGGGAGCGGGATCGTGGATGTGCACTGCCGAGTAGCCCTACAATAGGACGAAACGGCTTCCCGGTGCTTCCAGGTTTTCAAAGGTGGTTTGACATCAATCGATTCATGATCTCAATCAAAAACATTTTATTCTGTTAAGGATTAGTCAATTGAATATGCCTATCATATCTTATTACTGATATTCATGTTGAAACTTGTATCCAATATCTTAGTTTAAATATAAAAATAATATATTGAACATATTATTTGCATATCTTCTTTGAATTATCATCTACATACTTCATTATTCCTTTAATTCTATAATAATTTTGATTGCTCTTTGATTTCTTTTCTATTCTCTTCACTTCAGTATGCGACTTTAATCTATTCCACTTCCGATTACCACTGCATACTACTTATATCTGTTAGCATAAGTAGCATGCACCACAGAAGTTCAGAATATAAACAACGAGGAATTAAAATCGTTTTGCTATTACTGTAAATATATCTTAACTCAATGTTACTGTGACTTACACCTGTTACTCCTCGTGGAGGAGCATAGACCACCCATCAGCACTCTTCACCCAACCCTGTCCTGGGTAATTCTTTCCAGTTGTTATTCATCGTTTTCATATCTGATTCTATTTCCCGACGTAACTTATTGTTTGGCCCTTTTCTTTTCCATGTCCCTTCAGGATTCCAAGTTAAGGCTTGCCTCATGATACAGTTTGATGATTTGCATAACGTATGTTTTATTTATTTCCATCGTCTTTTTCTAATTTCCTCTTGAGATTGAAGCTAGTTTGTTCTGTCCTAGGGAAGGCTGTTACTGATGGTATCCGGCCAATGAATGTTGAGTATCTTGCCTGAGGGTATCCTGGAACAAGTGATCAGTAAGTTCTTAATGTCTTACAGAGTTACCCCCAATCCGGCAGTACCAGAAGGAAAGTCGCAGGGCGAGTGTATGTTCGGAAGGAAAATCCGGACAGTCTTTAACAGTATGTTGCCTCCCAGAAAGACAAATAAACCCATGAATGAATATCGTACGGTCACTCGTAGCTTCCAGGTGGGTGAAAGAGTATTTGTCAGATCGTATCAAGGTAATAGGAAGTGGGAACCAGGTGTCATAGAACGTCGAATCGGAAATGTACCTTCATGGTGATAATTGATCTTAACTCAATAGTTTACTGTTAAATATGTGAATATTTTAGTTGGTCAACTAATGAAAATACAAAACAGATTGTTTCTATAGTTGATATTTGTAATATTTTATAACCATTAATATTTATTGGATATAGAAAATTACTACTTTTCTATCCATTAGTGATTATTTACAATATTTTGTAAATTCTATTCATTACATAGGTGATTTATTAAAATGAATATTTAAAATATGGGCGTATAATTGAAATAGGTGGAATATTATACAATGAATTATATGTATCTATAATCACCCCCCCGTTTTTTGGGTATAACTATGAAATACTTAGTGTATGATATTCTCATATTATCCTATTTATAAGCTTTCATTGAATCCATTGATTGATAAATTACTGTTAATTAATTATAAAACTACCATTAGAAAAGGGTTTTGTAGAGATTGTAGTAGTTTAATCATTGAATTCACGAGTCAATTAATGCTGGACCATCATGGGAAACCTCGTATGGGATTTCACAGCATTGCGCATCAACCAGGTCTGTTGTGAGATAGTAACTCATTGAAGACAATAGTGGACGGTGGAGCAATTTTGTGTATTGGTTAAAGTTAGACATTAAAACTATTGGATGACGGTCGAATCAGTGGTCTAGAGGTTGAGCGTTCGCATGAGAGACTGATAGATCCTGGGTTAGGATCTCGCGAGGCGGGATCGTGGATGTTCATTGCTGACGAGTCCCATACTAAGATGGAACGGCCGTCCAGGGCTTCCAGGTTTTCCATGGTGGTCTAACTTCAGTTGACTCATGAATTTAACTATTAAATTATACAATTATCGTTCAGTTTTGTAGCACAAATGGATTAGTTGTTGCATAAATTTTAACCTTCTATTTGTGGTACGTTGAGATCGTGTAACTGATGCATAGAATAGTGTATTTTTAGTTAAAATAATAATATTAAGATAATAAGAAATAAATTTGTTGGCTGTTTTATCGTTCCAGTTGATCATTAAGAATAGAAGTTGAGTGGACAAATCGGCGTTAAGATCTCAAGTTGCTGATGGAAGCAACTTGTGACATCGGTCGAATCAAAATCGTTCGTTGGTTTGATTAGCGTAATGTAGATTATTCATTAATAGACTATATAATTTGGTGATCTAATTAAGTTGGTATTTACGAGCATTTTAATGTCTGATTACAATCGATAATTGTGGATTAACTTGGAGATATTGGTTTGACTTAAACCGTGCAATTTTATTCATTAACTAAATTTGGTATAGTATTATGATTACAACAAAATGCTAACGTCTTGAGCTCAATCATGCGTCAAATCATGAGATTTCTAGTTTTCATTAGTTCCCTAATATTCATAGTTTAAAATACGAAATGTTCTTAGTTAGACTACTATTGATAACATGGAGGCACTGGATAATCGTTTCGTCCTCGTATCGAACTACTCACAAGTACACATTCACTACTCTTATCCAGGAAGCAAAGCAAGCACCTTCGGTTTCACTCATGAACTTTTGACCTCCAGACTACTCAGCTGGCATTTAACAGTGTCACTATCTGACTTTAATCAATTTACGAACTTAAGCAATTATCATGTATTTTGTGTTTCACATCTGAGATGGTTGAACTCTATTGGTCGTGGCTTTTCACTATAACTTCAAGGGTTAAATCACGAGGTTAGTCACTAGTAAGAACATGATTATTATTATTAGTTTACGGAGATTTATTCAGACTCTAGGATTTTTCTAGTTTAATTATCTAATTACTTATAGCAGCTCACATGCAACTGAGTTTATTCACATTTAATTTGGTTAAACTCTTTTGTTAACTAATTTAACGAACAGAGTCGTCAGTACAGTAACACCTTATCTATATCATTGTACCTTTATTATTGTTACACTTCTATGAATATGTATACTTGAGCATTGCTTACCGTCTAAGCATATATTCACCCTGCTAGACTCATTTTAATCATGTTCATTGTCTTGCTGATTCGCTATTACACTCGCTCATTCAACTTACATACTCACTCGTTTGTCTGTTAGCTTTTCGGCACTACTCTTTCATGTAGATTAGGATATCTGTGTATGGTACAATAATAAAAACGTAATGAACACTTTGTATTCACCATTGAAGCGTTATCTATTAACTATTATTAAGATGAATTGTATACGAAATCAATACTTTGTATTTACCTTCTGATTAATACACCATTGAGGCGTTATCTAGTAACCATTATCAAGATGAAGGATTATATTGAATAACAACCATCACAAGTATTATTTCAAGATTTTAAAAACAAAAAACGATCTACTTTCATATTCATATTTGGCATTCTCTATTGAATATTCCTTACTGATTTATTAATATAATATTAAACTGATATACTAGGAAGCATATGTTAATTAATTTATGACATTCATTGGTGTTTTTAATAAATATTCTCAAAACACACATAGTGATTAAATTCTACCAGAAGAAAAAAGAAAAAAAAGAAGCGAAAAAAATGAAAGAAAAGAAAAGAAACGAAAAAAGGAAAGAAAAAAAAGGAAATCAACAACAACAACAAAAAACACACAACAGAAATGAAAATGAAAAGTTTAAGAATTTCATAACATAATTAGAATAATAAATGATTTGAAATAAATGACTAATTATAATTATATAAAACAAACACAAAAAAATGATAATCAATAATTCAGTTAGTAACAACAACAACAGCAACAACAACAACAACAACAACAATAATAATAATAAAATACAATTAACACAAACAAAATTTATATTTTCATATAAGAGAATAAAATATTATCAAGAATAATCTTTTATTTTTATTCTTATTTTTTTTTATTTTCGTCCAAAATTTGCTTATTCTCTTAAATGTATTAAAATAGAATTAATCTGTAATTTGAGGTGATCAGGTCGGATACTACTGATTGATTGATTGAGTTGAAGCCTTCTGATATATATATATATATATATATAGAGAGAGAGAGAGAGAGTTGAATTATGATTGGTTGTTATTACATGTCTATCTTTGTGCATGATTTGTCTATCAATCAATATATTCATATGAAGGGGAGCATATACATATGTATAGATATATGCACATAAATGAGCCAATAATATCAGCCTAAAGGTAAAGAGCATAAGAAAAAAATAAATAAAAGATAATTTGGCAAGAATGCATTTTATGGGGATTTCGAAGATCACTTTACAATGAATGCATTCAATTCAACTATTGATTCATGTCTCAATCCATTTCTTTTTAATGAAGTTTTGTTCTCTGAGCAGGATGATCTAGTCGTGAAGTTTTCATTGTTCTTCTGACTGAAATCATCTATTTGAAGTTTATGCTGATGATGAAGAACGATGAAAGCTCTACGACTAAACCATCCAACTCAGAGAACAAAACTCCATCGAAATCATCCACTTGAGTTACAAATCTTCTCCACTAACTCAGAATCATATGAGAGTAGTACGCTTCTCATTATTCGAAAATGGGTGAATTTCGCCAAAAGGCAGGATTTCACTCGAGAAAAACTGTATTTTCTCCATGAGTGTCTTCATCAGCATGTTCTATTAACAAATATAAGATACAGACCTCCAATCAACAACTGCCCAATAAGATGGAGAATAACTGAACAAATAGTTTCTTGTGTGTATTTTTTAGTGAAAAAATATCTTGAAAAAAGTCACTTTGTGCCAATCAGTGCATTGATTTTCTTGTCAATGTTTTTCTAATTATTCATTAAACTCAATCTAAATAATGCAGAGTTTTCTATTAAAAAATATCACTTACACAATAACAAAAAACTCTCACAATCATGTGTCCATTTGTGACTAGCTTTAAGATGTAACTCATGGAGTTCTAGTGAGAAGTCGTGACTAGGTGAGTCTAATCTGTGTCAAATATGAGACAGATATCCACCTGAAAAGATCAATAAATCGTTGCGCATGATCATGGATTGATTCAAGTTAAACACGAACAACTCTGTGTGCGATATCGAAGGTCCTGAGTTTGAGTCATATGTGAGGGATCGTGGGTGCGCACTGCTGACAAGTCTCATACTACGACAAAATGTCCATCCAGTTTATGTATGTTTTCACTTGTGGTTTAACTTAGATTGGCTCATGATCATAATCGTGAAAATATCGGAGTTGTAAACTAATTATGGTAAACTGCTGTAATATAATTTTATAATAGTTGTGATATGTGGGCTCATGATATCACTTTACTTATTTTTCGTTACATCTCTATGTCCTTTAATGACCTTTAATTACTGTAATAAAAACGTTTTAATCACCTTCCTACATTCACATTATAATTCGTTATTAACTTATTAAGACGATTATTATTATTCGTATTACGTAATCTAGTATTGTAATCTTTCTATTATAAAATCTTGGTTATTCCCTGTTCACATTTCCTCATGGAACTAGTACTTTAACAATGAATGTTTCATATTTATATACGATTGTGCGGTTTGATAATGAATTCGTTGAGAAGACATCCCTTCGATGAACTTCGTGTTTTTTAATTTCAATATTATCCACAATTAATTTATTCGGAAAAAGTGTACATCTTTGTTGAAGCTAAGTACTAATATATATGAATAGAGGAGTTATACAAAGAATCTTAACTGGACATATTGTTATTATTGATGAAGTGGTATTCCTAACATCCTGTTACAGTTCAGTAATTGTACTAATGTGTAAATATTCTACACTAAGAAGACTATATCGAGGTAATCCGCACAGGATGCACATATGCAAACATGAGACTGATCAATTACAGTCTTAAATAATAATGGGAAGATACAAGTGAAACAACACCAAGTGAACTAAAAAGACTAGTTGTTCAGTAACTTTAAAGTGACGATACTTTAGTCAGTTTAATAGAAATGTGAAACAATCAGATATTTTCTTTTGTCTCATTAAAGTTTATTTACAACAAACTAACTAAACACATCTTTACCACCCATTATGGATCACTACTGATAGTCTAAATCATGATTATGAAAGTGAGAATATTTTGAAGGACAAGGTTCATAAATGTTTTTTTCAGAGATTGTACAAACCTTGACGTTCGCTTTGTTCGTTTACGGCTGATTCACTTTCGTTTGTCCAAGATCTTGAATGTTTCTGATGTGTACCTAATTGGAAAAAAAATTCAAAGAAAGAATAAATAAACCTCAATGAATTAAAGTCAAAGAAACACTAAACTATAATATTTACAGTGTATAGAACAATTCGGGTTTAGTAACTGCGGTATGTGTGTGTATACAATACTAGTAGAGATTAAATAAGAAAAATAACTTAGACTATTGGGGCAGTTTTGAACCAATGACGTTTTCTCACAGAACTTTAGCTCCTCTCGATGAGAAAGAGATTTTCATACGAGATAAATTATCTCGCTAGTACTTAACATTCTAGGCTGTGTGGTTTAATGACAAAGCTTTCATTTTTACTCTAGACAACATTATTGGTGCCTATTTTCAAAAACTACGGTAATAAAAGCTTTATTATCAAGCCATTCATCTAAGACAATATAACTCCATCATAAGATTACTTGATGAACAATAAGAATTTCAGTTGCAATATCGAATAATTTCAACTAAAATGCAATCAAATTCACTTGGTTTTGCTTGCTTGAATCTTCCCATTGAGGTTTAGGACTGCAATTGATCAGTCGCTTGTTGGCATATGTGCTTACTGTATGTATTGCCTCGATATCGCCTTAATTCACAAGCTTTATAAACGAAGATAGATAATGGTTAGCTGTGGAATCCAGGACGCGCGTTTCGTCCTATTTGGGACTCATCAGTTGGATGTACCTGCGTCTCAGAGTTGATGTTAATTGAATTTAAATTCACCCCATTGCGCAAGCAAGTGGCTATCAGGACTCAGTAGCTAAGTGGAGTTTGAAGCGAACGTTACTGGGTTCGTTTCCCAAGAGTAAACATCAACTCGGAGACGAAGGTACATTCAGCTGACGAGTCCCAAATAGGACGAAACGCGCGTCCTGGATTCCAGTGCTAGCCGCTATCTATATTTGCTTATAAGATGCAGTTAGTTGTTAATTCATTTAAGACTCACTGAATATCATGTGAAGCACTGGTTAGAATGTATCATCATGTTTTTTTTTAATACTGATTAACAGCCAAGTTTATACAAACAGAAATCATTTTGTAATCTTAAAATATTTTCTTGAACTTACATTTATTCTTTTAACTGCTCGTAATTATGAAATTTAATTATAACACAGTTCATGCAATCTACAATATCTTCTTGAGCTTTACTAATGTTAGAAATGGAAATATAATTTCTACATATTTGAAATCATTCGAAATTTACAAGTCCAAAAACTATACACTAGTATGGTTGAATGATTCACGAATGGATTGCGTGATTGTAGAACTTACCTTCACAAATTTATAATCGATTAATCACTGGGTAGTAACTAGTACCATGTATGTTAAGTTCTTCTTAGCGCTAATTGAATTCTAGCGAACATGTTGCAATGTGGCCCAAGTCTAAGTAACTCGATAGCACATATATTATGTTGGGATATTAGATAGTCGACAGGAAATCCTGAATTTAGGTTTTATGCTATTTATCACTCGTCAGTAAATATTGTTTGACTAACATACAAAAGTTAACAAACATACCTGACTTGCGAGTGCAATACACTTACAACACACGTAGATAATTATCCTACTGAGAACTAATAAACTTTCAAGATTGTTTTTTCTCTATTTTATAACAGGGTTATCCATTAAAGTTTAGTTGAAAGTGTATTATGGAGATTAATTTAATCTGCAGACTTTATTCGTCACAGACTGATATTAATTATAGAAACATTTCAAGGATTATATTTACTCTAGTGCAATGATCTTCTTCACTTTATTAATCCCAATTAATCTTTTGTACAAGATTTATTTTTCTGACAACTCAAAGAGTAAAATTAGTTGAATGATGGTTATGAATATGAATGACAAATTTGGGAAGTTATATGTTTGGGAAATCATGATCTAATTGTAGTTTTTCATTTTGCACATTAATTGTTCTATTTTAAAAAAATGTAGTAAATGAATTATAATCAGAATGAGGGTTCGTGAAAATTGTAGTAATTTAATAGTTGAATTTAAGTCAGACCACCATGGAAAACCTGGAAGCACTGGTAATAAACATTATGTGCACACTAGTGACTGGCTTCAAGATGTGTTTCGTGAAGTTCCAATGAGTAACCGTGTAGTTATACCATGGATTGGTTGAAGTTAGATATTAACACCGTTGAATGCCAGTCGGTTCAGTAGTCTAGAGGTTAAGAGTCTACGCATGAGATCGAAGATCGTGGGTTCGAGTCCCCTTGGTGCAGGACGGTGAACGCGCAATGCTGAAGAGTCCTATGATAGGACGGAACGGCCGTTCAGTGCTTCCAGGTTTCCCAAGGTTGTTTAGCTTAAATCAACTCATGAATTTAACTATTAAATTAATTATAATTCCGTAATTTAGATTTGTACCATAAATGTCTTTATCAGGAATAATGTTGTGAATTCTTGATAATAAAGCCATATATTTAAACTTCTTGGCTGTCTATTTTTAAATTTTGAGACTATCACAAAACAGTCTTTTATTTTAAATCTATTTTAACTGATTAATTATGTTAATTGATTAATGTACTGAAGCCGCCCTAACATACGATGGTAAAGGTATAGCATAGGGATAAGCCAATTAGAATCGAAAACATAACTTCCAGGCTATTGAGCGAAATTCAAAACCCAGGAAAACATCATTATGTAACACTTGAAGTACATTTGAAATGATAATAAGAATTACTTTATGATATCATGAAGTAAAATTGATGGTGTTAAACATATCATATGCTTAATATTGTCTCTATAGATTGTATCCAACTGATTGTAGATTGTATTTAATACTGTTACCAAATCATAACTTCAAATTCATTATCCTGAAACAAATCTAAATTCCTTGAGGTTATATTTTGTAGATGAGTTAATCACATAATACCTTTTGGATTTTTGAGCAAAATTCATCCATCCATATGGTTGTAGATCATTGCACACTATATTCGTGTTGTAATGGGTGACTGCAGGATGCGCAGCGTATTTATCGATCGCTTCTGTGACAGTGACACGTAAACACGTAAGGACGACCTAGTGCCCTGACTGGCCCTGCTTCGCTGTCTGTCCTAGCCAGTTGAGTCAAGAACACAAGTCACAGCCTCTGAGTTATGAATCGCTATATTTCAGACATACTCTATTTATATACCAATCAAGCATACCACATCGTACCATAAAATAGAGAACAACATTTACACAATATTTAACAAGTGAAATAAACATCGACCAATAGGAAATGTACATTTAAGGTCCTAGGCCACCATAGACTTAACACGATAATTATTGGTATATTTTTCCGACTATCCTAACAATTCGATGTCAATTCATAGAAGTCGTGACCCAAAATACTTAACCTTTACCATGAATTGATAACCCTAACTATAAAAAGAAAAGGGACTCTTAGCAATCTATTTTCGTGCTTATACAGGTCTGAGGATACGGGAAATCTGCATCTTTATAGATGTAGGCATTGGTCTAAACTTATATGTTGTTGGGTTTTTAATATATATTCAGTGTAACTTGTAGAGGAAGTGATTATGTAACATCATGTTCAATTAATTATCTATTCAGAAAGGCTGTCTTCTGATTGGTTAAGGGGTGGCTCAAAATTAGTCTCGATTGATTTAATTACATCTTTACCTTAACTATACTCTTGCTGCTATGACTAAGCGAATTACCACTAAATTCAAGCTGAACAACTCAGGTTATTTGTACATTTTTATTTTGTTCTGGTCTTCGGGAAATAAGAATTGAACTAGAACTCACACATCGAATTTATTAAACTATGAAGGAAAATAGAATCTGAGTAAATCACTTATGCATAAAAAAGGATACAGCAAAATCCGACCTAAGGTTTCTTTGTGGTGCTGCTGGATATTGGGGGAAACTCTACCAGCCAACTTAGGTGGTTGCAGAGACCGGACTGATCACCCACTCTGTTGTATCTGACCAGTTCTATACTATATCCAGGGCTCATTTTACCGCCCAAGCTAACCAATATGTATCCTTATGTGTGAGAGTTGCAGAAGTTTTTGGACCTATCTAGTCCAAGTATATAGGTATATGCAAAGGGTACGCATACGGTGTCGTACAAAGGAAGCGTTGAGCTGCAAAGATGTCTGCCCTATGTCTCATAAAATCAGCGATCTTTCTATCAAGTCGAGGACTTAATAAAAAGAGGTGGTAGCAAACACCTGGGCGAGGCGACCAATAACCTCCTCTGAGAGAGTGCTTATGCTTATGTGTGTCATGAAATACTGGGGTGATAGCCATGGTGTGAATGATATGCATATAATGTGTAAGAGTCAGTCTGGTGTAGTAAGTACGTTTTCATTGGGAGCGGTAAACGTCTACCCTCCCAGATGGGCGAATATACCTGTGTGTATGCTATGGGATGCATGGGGTAAAACCTGTGTTGCCAGTGCGCATGCAGCCTATATTTGCTCACAACGTATGTATAGCTTTATGTATGCCAAGTGATATTCGGATGAAAGTTTGTGTGTTATCTAGTATGCGAGTAGATTATATACATCCAGGACAAGTAAATCGTAAATCTCATTACTTGTTCTTTTGGTGCAATACCATTATGCATGCAAAGACTCGTGAGGCCGCGGTCCCCACTAAAGTACATTTACATGGTGGGTTAGTAAGCCTCGGAATACGTTCCACAAGGACCTCTAGATCTCCCCACTAAGTATCATCAGCTATTCTCTGTCTAGAACACCGTACCAGTCAGTCAGAGTTCAGAAATCAATGTGTATATGTAGATGTAAATAAAAAAAATTTATACAATACTAATTATTTGATGCTAAGAAATCATTCAACTAATCAAACATACTACTTATTGAATTAAGTAGTTGTTAATTATAATGAATATTATTAATAATGTATTGTGATCCTGTAGATTTCTATACATAATCCTATGCATTTTTAAGTCAATACAAACATAGGGATAAGTAGGTTGTTGTTTTTTTTTCATGTTCTAATTGAAGCTTAGATAAAAATAGTACAATTCTGTGTAGGCTAAGTAATTTTAACACTATAATAACTACTCTCTACACTTTATACAAATATTCATTAGAATAATTTAATAACACCCGGCTTTATCAAATGAAGCAACGATAATTTAGTTGGTAGTAACCATGGCGAATAGTGAGTTAGGAGTTGTTCATTTTTTGTTTTCGAACTTTTTATTGCCAATTTCATACAAATAAAGATTATCATTATCTGTTTTACTAATGATATTTCGATGGGATAAAAATTATACATTTTTTCCCTACACTAGTTAAGTCAATAAACGAAAATCAACTTGTTATATAATTTGGAAAATAATATTCTGTTGTAATGGCTGTGCTTCGATTACTAATCACCCTCGTACTGTTGTCATATAATCTCCCACAGTGTTTCAAATCAGAAGGTAAAAAGAAGCAGGTACTACAGTTTTATTAGTAGATAATTCAGACCACAAAGCAGAGAGGCCAAACGAATGAGTCAGCCAACTGCGAGTGTAGTAGTAGCAGTAGCAGTGTATATGGTGTAAATGTACATATATACATATATATAGGGAAATGGACGGGTCATCGAACCGATTAAGCAACTAATAATAAAGCTAGCGGAATGAATATATGAGTAGGTGGTAAACAATGCTCAAGCATACATATTTCATACAAGTACAATAATAATAAAGGTACAATGAATTGTTATAGTATGAATGACTTTGTCCGTTAAATAAGTTAACAAAAGGGCTTAACTGAGTTAAATGAGAATAAACTCAATTGTACATAAGTCGCTATACTGCCATATTGATGATTGCATAATTCCTTTTTTTAGTAAAGTTAATGGTATAAAACGAATGTATGAGAATTCTGACTATTTTGATTTCTCATAGTTTACATCATAAACTAATTCCCTTTTTTTAGACAAGCAATCAACTTTAAGAAGTACTAGAGAACTGTTATATACTAGTATAAGATGCCTCATCAACAAGCCCAACATGGATAGAGCATAAGACATTCATTCATTTGGTATTGTTTGTTTGAATCTTTCTATTGATGCTTAGGAGTGCATTTGATCAGTCTCTTATTAGCATATGTGCATCATGTGCGGACTGCCTTCATATTGCCTTAATCCACAAGTATGGAGGTTAGCAATGGAATCCAGAATGAGTGTTTCGTCTTATTTTGGATTCATCAGATGGATGTACCTGCATTCTAGAGTTGATGTTCACTCCGGGAGTAGAACCCTGTACCGTTTACTTCAAATGTCATCACGTTATCCACTTAGCTACTGAATCCTGAACATCAATGGGAGTATTCAAACAAACAATACCAAAATGAATTTTAACTTCACCTCATTGCATAAGCAAGTGGCTGTCGGGACTCATTAGTTAAGTGGATAACGTGATGGCGTTTGAAGCGAACGGTACTGGCTTTGAGCTTTGGAGTGAACATGGAGTAAACATCAATTCTGGGATGCAGGTACATCCGGGTTTCGAGTGTGAAGCAGTTACTTACTAATGGGATTGAAAGATGATCAGAAAATACCGCAAGCTGGTTAAAATTAGATGACGATTCAGTGTTAATTCTGACACCTGAATTTCACAGCCTGTATTTCTAGAATTGGTGTCGTGGATATGCACTGATCAAGAACATTTACTGTGATGAAGCAATTATCCGTTGCTTCCTGGTTTGCAATTGATGAGTAACTATGGTCAGTTTTTGATGCAAACTACAATGTTTAGACTTTGTATGACTTGGTTACGATATTAAAATGAATGATAGACAGAAGATTCAACACCGTATTAGCCAGGACATACCTAACAGCTTTTTAAAGTTGAAACGGTTAGTTGATGAACTTAATCAAAGATAATTTTTAAACTAGAATGAAATGGTTGGAAGGATGCATGTGCATACAAAGTTGATTTCAAGTTGACTTATGCAATACTGTGTGCAAGAACTGTAAGACGAATACAAAGTTTGTTGATTGTTCGGTGATTAGATGATAACGCTGAGTTGTTTGGGTCGTGAATGACCTCTCATACAAATAGGGTTTGCTGAATCCTTAGATATACGAGGATTTTAACTTAACACTATATGTTCGACGTTCCTTATACTTACATTGATTTCATGAACCCACCGTTGTTAGACCACAATTAAAAGTCTGGAAGCACAGAACAGCCGTCAGCAGTGTGCGTCCACAATCCCACACGTGGAATTCGAACCCAGGATCTCCGGTCTCTCCCTAACGCCTAACATCTAGATCATTGAGCCAACTGGCATCCGACGATGTCAATCCCTAACTTCAACCAATCCACGTTATTGCTGATCATCTTCCATTGTCTTCGATGGGTAACTGTATCACACCCGACAGAGTTCAACTCCATTGGTCACGGTTCATGATCAGTTTACGATTTCAATGAAATCCAACAATCTCCAGTATCCTAAACTGGAAACTGTCATTTACTTACTAGTGACTAACTTCGAGAGGGAAATCTCGGAGTTCTCACTGTTGATGTTAGAGAGCAAAAATGACCAATCTCTACTGATATATATGTAGCTTGAATGGAATGCTCCAATGTTTAAAATCTAATTACAAGTAAAGATTCATTCAGGTCCCAATTATACTTACAGAGACTGATTAAATCCATCCATTAAAATTAACAATAAAAAAGTATAAACTCTTAAAAATGAAATTCATACTCCTTAAACAAGTTGGTGGCTTTCCAAGCTCAGTAGCTGGTGTTTAGATCGAAACAGAGCAGGCTTGAGTTACAGTATGAACATCAACCTGAAATACAGATACATCCAGCTGACGAGTCCTAAATAGAACATGATGCATTTCCTGCTGTCGAATACTTACCACTTCTGAACTTTAATAACTGCCTTTACCCTACAATATGATATTGATGGAAGAAAGAGAGAGATGATAGTCTTTCAAGTAACACACTTTATTCATTTATTGATCGATTAATAATCTGATTTTTAGTCAAACAAATAAATTAGTATCAGAAGGATTTTTTTGGAAATTGTACTAATTCCAATTGTTGAGATCATGAATCAATTGAAGCTAGACCATTATGGAAAACCTGAAAGCACTGGACGGCCGTCTGGTTCTATTGTGGGACTCCTCAGCGCATCCACGACACCGCCTCGTGGGATCATCTGCTTGCAATGCCACCATTTCTATTACTGCTAACTTTTTTCTCTTGAATGAATAAAAATGTAAACAAACAAGACAATGAACTAGATTATTATAAACTTACCATCTGATTTTGCTTCATCTCGATGTTTATATTGTTCTGTATTAAATGTATCTAGATTACGTAATTTACGTAAATCTTTTGAATTGCCCGGTTGAATTGGTGTAGACCATTTTATAGTTTCTGGCATTTTTTTTACAATCAAACTATTATCCGTTAGTTGAGTATTTTCATTCAACCAATCACGTTTTTTTAAAGGATTTCTATAATAAATTAGATTTGGCCAAATTGGATTTAAATATTCATTGTTTTCATCTGTAGGAGACGAAGAAGAAGAAGAAGAAGAAGCCGATTCTTGTAGTTTATCAACATCTTCATCTATATCAATAGGTAAATTGATTTTTGGACCTGAAAATACTTTACGCCTGAAGTTAGTTGAATAGGATGGTTGTCTGTTTAAATTAAATAAATACAAATATTGATTATCATCGTCATTAGCATTATCATCATCATCATCATTATGCTCATCAATACGATCAATGTCATCTTGATATTGTTGTTGTTGTGTTTCCTTTTCTAGGTCCCAGTGATGATTGTTCCATGAATGCCCTGAAAAATGAAAAAAAAAAAACAAACGATAGAGACTTCTTTTTAAAAGTTCTTTTCATAGCATTTCATATGAAATAGTTATGTACTGAGTTTTCTATTCACATTAGTTCTTTAGTTAGAACGGAAGATATAAATCCATAATATGATTCAATCTATAAGTTTCAGGCTTCCTGAAGAGCCCTACAACGAGAAAAAACAGCGATGAAGTAAGTTCTCGGTTTTATTCGTTATTTATTTAAAGTTAGTTCATCGTTTAAAACTTTTTGCAATAACAAAACTGTTTTCAGTTGAATCATTATAAGGCTTCATTCGAATATTCAGTACTATGTAAGTGTATATGTGAAGGATATTAAATCAGTTAAGACAATTCATGAATCCATAATACAAAAAGTACATACCTTTCGCTATGTATAGAGTAGACTGTGGTCATTCAAGCCTACAAGCGTAATCCTTAGATGTCGAGGAAGTTTGTAATCCATCTATTTCTTACTTAGTCTGAGGATTACTTTTACCCTTTGCTTATTTGTTCCTCTTTACTCCTTTTTGCATATTCTCTTCTTTACTCCTTATGTAATATTTAACTAACCATTCACACATTGTTTATTATTGAACATTTTTAATCATCATTGTTTCATTGTTCAGTTTATTTTCCAAGGTTTTAACAAGGATTATAATGTTGAATTATTTATTCAAGTTATTGTTATGCATACCATAACTAATCAATTTTCAACCTTACTGTCAAGACTTATTCGCTTCTGATGGAGATACAACTGGAAACAATATTGTTATTATCAAGGATTGTGAAGATTTATAAATTTGAAGTCATACATCACGCAATAGATTTAACCAAAAATTCATTGAAAACAAGAAGATATTGGAAAGCTGTTTCGTTCTGGTGTAGTACTGCACATAAGACTTGAAAGCTCTGGATGTCAGAATTGGTTAATTTATGTTATTGTGCTCTTTTGTACCATTTTATGTTATCTAGTACTATTTAGTTTTTACTAGTTGTCTAACTATGTTAAGTCTATTATATAAACCATAACATTCAGTAGTGCAAACGACTTTCTTCTCATGCTAATAATGTTCTTTTTTCCCCTTGTTAACTTACCTACAGCGTGACATGATTAGTTAAATAATTAATTTTATGCTCATTCATATAATTACATGGTCATTTAATTATTAATACACTTGATATCATTGTCACTACCCAACTGAACTTCTCTATTCATTTACTTATTATCATCAGTGTTAGTCTTATTCTCTCTTATTTATTGATCACAATAACAGATTTGTTTATTGGATTTCCTATGTATTTAAACAATGAATTATATTAATTTTAACAGTTGAATTTATGAGTCAATTGAAGTTAGACCACCATGGAAAATTTGTAAGCACTGAACGAGCGTTTCGTCCTAATATAGGACTCTTCAGCAGTTAGAGGTGAAGCGTTCACAAGCGAGACCGGAGGCTCTGAGTTTAGGTCCCACAAACGGCGTCGTTATGCTCACTGTTTAAAAGTCCCATACTAGAATGAAACGACCGTCCAGTGCTTTCGAGTTTTCTGTGGAGATCTAGCTTCAATTGGTTGATGAATTCAGCTAGTAAAATTACTACAATGTTTACAAAACCCCTTTCTGATAGTAATTATTTTAAAGTTAGATTAATTATTCAAATTTGCCGAAAACCTTAAAGTATTGACCTAAAGGTTTGAATAATTTTTTTCTGGCTAGCGTTTTTTTAGCGAGTTAGTTTTCTACGGGATGGGGTCGCTAACCCCATACCCAACCCTCTTCCTTTATCCGGGCTTGGGACTGGCAGTAGCCCTTGAGGGAACTCCAGGCGGAGTTTTAAATTATTTAACTGAATATTTATTTTTTTAGGCCCGACAAATTTCTAAGATAAACATTCTTTGCGCATAAATTATTTCTGTATATAGTTACATGATTAAGATGGATGGAACATTTAAAACAAGTTTACGGCAATTTGTTATATACAGACATCTAATTTCATTGTGCTTTAATTAGATATTTGGGCGAGATTATAATTTATGGACGAACCAATCATGTATAAAATAATAGGTCTCAAATTTTGGCGCGAAATTCGCTCATCCATTTGGATAAATTGAGTTTTGGCATTATAGCTGATGTCAGTTCGTATTCCTCACATAGGTTTATAACCCTCATTTGATCCTGGTAATTAAGTGGACACTGTCAAGGTCATTCTAGCGTCGCCCAAAGGTCATCCATAAGTTATAGTTTCACTGATATTTGTTATACTGCTCTGAATCTAAGCTTTCATTTTACTTACCGATTACTCAATTTTGTACTACATGTGATCTAGTTATGTGCAAATTTTGATTGTTTATTTAGGGTACGTCGTGAACGTACTGTTGAACAGACACTACAAATCCGAACATAATTCCAGTTTAATAACTTCGACCGGACAAATAATATATTATGACATTTCCGTGATAATAGTTCTACACAAGAAAGAATAATCGATTCTAATGGGAAATCATAACTAGTGGAGCTTAACAATGTTGGGTGTAATATAGTTACCCTAATACCATTGACAAATGGTTACGCCACATTATGAATCGATTGAAGTCAAGGATGTAAACTAGTGGATCTTGGATCTGTAGTCTGAAGATAAAGAATTCCCCTTGGAAACTCAAAGGTAATTGATTTGATTAGTGGTGGAGTCATGAACAAGCACTAGTGATGATTCTCATACTAGAATGAAACTGATATAACAGAATGAGAAGACGAAATTGCATTATTAACTTATTGTGATTCTTGTTCAGCATTACTTCCGTTTTTAATTCAATATGATGATTATTCAGTGTATTATCTGTTTTGTTTTCCAGTGTGATAATTTATTCGATAAACCATCAATTTATGTGAGCGTGCTGTTATCTCAGGAGCCGCATTCTTACAATTGAATAATATATGCAAGTCAAAACAACTGTCAATCAACATCAAAGTCACGATCTTCAATACAAACGTCAAGACAGTCCTACTGTACGAAGATGAATTGTCGAGAACTACTACAACCATCATTAAAATGGTGCAAGTATTTATGAATAGTTATCTACACTAGATACTCAATGTCAGTTGTCCGGATACCATGAGGGACAGCCTACTGTAGGAGAGAACAAACCGAATTCCAGCTAAAGAGGAAATTAGGTAAAGACGCTGAAAGTGTGTAGGATTTACATCACGGAAATCACCAAACTGTATCACGCAGCAAGCCCTAACTTATAATCCTGAAGGGAAACGGCAAAGAGGAAGACCAAAGAATACACTTCGTCGGTAATTGGAAGCAGACATGAAAAGCATGAATAGCAGCTGGAAACAACTAGAAAGGATTACCCAGGACAGGATTGAGTGGAGAATGCTGCTGGGCAGCCAATTCTCCTCCACGAGGAGTAACAGGCGTGAGTAAATAGGTAAGTAATCTCAGGACATGATATTATTGCATAAAATTAACGTGAACTATGCTCAGCATGATAGACAACATGTGATTTTGTTATATCTCTAAGTATTATATATATGATTCTATTCTAATTAGCAGTCAACATGGATGAACAATCAGTATACACTGAGTGTATTTTCGACTAGGATCATCGTCATGCTTTGGGTTTAATGAATCTTCACTTGCACCAGTCTTAATGTTCTTACTTTGCCTCGTGAGAATCGCACTTTGGTTCATCGTTCTCTCAAGTATAAATATTAAGCAACATGGATACAACAATTAATCATGAGAATAGAATAGAATACTACTTAATGATTTTCAATGGTTATCTAACTAAAATCAGTTTATGATATAAACAAAGAAAGAAGATGAAAGAATGAATTCGGTAAAAGAAAATTTCTTAAATTAAAAGAACCTTCCTTGAAATCAATCGATATCATTGTACATATTTTTTGTGCATAAATATTCTCATTAGTAAACTTACCAATATTAGTTTGAGTTGATAATGAAACCAAATAAACAATCAATATAGTCGTTTGAAATAAAATTGACATTGTTTATTGATTTTCGGTTTCCTGTTTTGTGCAATCGCCGTAACCGTTTAGTTCCTCAACTGTAAGAAAAAGCCAGAAAACATATTTATTGTTATTATCCTAGAATGGTTAACATTTTCGCATGTATAATTTTGTGAACCCCGCCTGGATGCCCTCTGGGGCTACTGCCGGTCCGAAGCCCGGATAAAGGAGGAGGGTTTGGCATGGGGTTAGCGACCTCATCCCATAGAAAACTAACTCCCTAAGAAAACGCTAACCAGAAAAAAAGATTCTAACGACTTGAACTGTAAGAGAAAACCAACCAAAGCTTAGCGGAGGAAGGAATCAGGAAGAAGCGCTGGAAGTGGATAGGACCTAACTGAGTCACAAGGCAAGTTCTCACTTGGAATCCTCAAGGCCAAAGGAAAAAAGGAAGACCAAAGAACACACTACGCCGAGAAATAGAGACAGATGTGGGAATAATGAACAACAGTTGGATATAACTAGAAAGTAAGGCCCAGGACAGAGTGTGTTGGAGAATGCTTGTAGGTGGCCTATGCTCCATTGGGAATAACAGGCGTAAGTATAAGTAAGTAAAAGTAACTTCGGAAAAGATCATTTTCAAAAGTGATCATTTATTATTTCTAATGTGAAATTGATTCAATGACTCCACAATGATATGAATGTTTCACATAGCGGAATGATTGAAACTTTAGTGTCTTTTACTCTTATAGGTCAATAAACCATAGAAAGTGATTGAAAATACTATAGAGACATTTCATTTAGTGTAAAAACATATTTCAGAAGATGATATTACATTGTATTCAACGAAGACTGAGATAAGTATGAAAATATTCACCAAATGTATTGGGACATTTGATTCGAAAGTTGGCATACATCTAGTGGAGCTCATATTCTTGAGTTACACCTATACTTACTTTGGACGTATGCAGTTTGCAGGACACACCACGAAGGCAATGTTTTTCACTGTGATTCGTCAGCAAGGCGTACTTATAATCTTGGAAAGGAAGAATTATGACGCCCTATGATGAAGGCGGAGGTTCTTCGGAAGTCACGTTACAGATGCTCCTTGCAACAACCAGAGTAACAATTAACATAGGTACACGGAATGTTTGGACAATGCGTGAGACAGGAAGGACCAGTCAAACTGATACAAAAATGAGGCGATACAACTTGGTGCTTCTCGGAATCAGTATGGGATTCCTACAGCAGTGTACCTCCACAGTTACACACATGAGATTCGAATCCAAAACCTTCGGTATCGTGCACGAATGCTTAACCTCTAGACCACTGAGTTAACTTGCATTCAAAAATGTTCATGTTTAACTTCAATCGATCCATGATCTTGAGCGACCTTTTATCCGTCGTCTGAAGTATATAATTGTTTCATACCTGATACGGATTGCACTTCAAAGGTCACATCTTCTACTAGAAGTTCATGAAATCTATCTTCAATCCATTCACTAATGAGCAAATGATTAGTATTTTCGAAACCGAAGATCCTAAGTTCGAGTCCTTTTTGCTGAAGGATTGTAGATTTGTACCGTTAAGGAGTCATGTGTTAGGACGTAATGACTATCCAGTGCTTCCAGATATTCAATGAGGGTCTAACTTAGATTGATTTATGAATTCAACTTTAAGAAGAATATATAACAATTTATTCTTATCCTAGTCTAAAAATGATTTCTATTTGTTTAAATATGTTATTGTACTGTGATACCTGCTACTTATATTGATATAAGTAGTATATGACGCAAGTCAGGAATGTAATGTCTGGCAGCAGAAGATGGGGAAGATCAAGAAAGGAAGAGCGAGAATAGAAAGCAATTAGTATAAATAAAGAAAATACAATGTATTTTACACTCAAAGCTAAAAATATCATCAATGAGGATGATATATTGAAATCTCTTTTAAAAGAATATATCATTCTATTTAATGGTTCATTAATCAAGCATATATACATACATAATTCTAAATGGAAACTTATGTCGGTTTAAATTCACAGGAGTTAGTGTATTCTAGTTTATGTATATATATATATATACTACTTGTCAAAGTACTACTGATTAACTTATTTGTATATATGATTACTAAATCTATACATTATACATTGTAAATAGTAAAATAACCAATCAAGCAGAAAAGATTAATTAATTAAGTAAATTAATGAATAAAAGTTACCAAACGAAAATAGTAGTTGAATTGAATGAGTTTATTAATAATTACAATCCAATCATGTTTATTAATTACAATTAAGTTGATTAAGTAACAGAATTGAAAGATACATGAGTATGTATTGAATAATTAAGATCAAGTTTTGATTCAATGTTTATAAGGTATTCATTACCATCAATTGAGATCATGAATCAGTTGAAACTAGACCACCATGGAAAACCTAGTAGCACTGGATGGCTGTTTCCTCCTCAGCAGTGCACATTCACTAACTTGCCTCGCGAAATTCGAACCCAGAACGAAACGGCTATCCAATGCTTCCAGGTTTCCTATGGTGGTCTAGCTTCAACTGAATCATGATTTCAACTATTGAAATTAATATAATATTTATTTATTGTTCGTTTCTCAGTACCATATTCTTTAACATAGAACCTTTTTTTTCCAATCTCATATGTGATTGAGTTCAAAATCTATAGGATTTATTCAGAGTATATGGTTTGTTAAAGAGATTACGTGATTATAAATATTAAGTTCTTACAAGTAACCATAACCGTGGATACTTTTTATTTCTTAATGTTAAATTTCTTATTACCTTTACTCTTTTCTGATTGATTGTTAGTACTTAAGGTTCCGTAATTCTTTGTGTTCTTCGGGATCATGTTTTGTTACTGTTTTTATACAGATTTATTCACTTATAATACGTTTACTTGATTGTCAGGTTTTTCCGTATTTTCATCTTCTTCCTGTGTTTCTTCGTAATAGCGAATTATTTATGAAGTACTGTGCGGCAATTGCCGTTTTATCGAATCTGCCATAAAAATCCATTTGTATTAAAATAAGGTTAACCATTCCGCAATTACAGTAAGGTCGTACCGAACCTCAGTCACAAGACAGTGATTTAATTACAAAACGTTATTCTACAATTTTTTTGACTTTCTGATTACATATATACATTAGCTATCCACTAAGTAATAATCAATACCATGATTATCTGATTCGTTAGTTGGGATTAAACTTTATCGACTGAAGTGAAATTCAGTTACTGGTTTAAATGACATAACATCAAGTATACTAATTAAGGAAGTTCCAGATAGTCAACAAGAAAACCTACATGACCAATAATTAATCTTACTTGCCATTTGGAACTCTAAGAAAACTGATATTCTATGAGAGATTTAAAACCGTGTCAATCAGTTACACTTGTAGTGACCTACTTATATCAAGAGAACGCGATTGGTTCTATGGAAACAATTATTATCATAACCAATTGTACCAGTGATTGTTTTACTGTACTTGCTTGTTTAACTGTACTAAAGACATTTTTCCGTTGCTTGTGACCTTGCATGCACTTACGTTTGCTCAGTGATTCCGCTTGTACTCCTTTGGCACAATCTCGGTATTCTTTCGATACCACGAGATCGCCAACAAGTACATCTCAACTACAACCATCAACTGCCTTCTGATATTTGGCTTACGGGGGATCTTGTCGGTTAACTAGCACGTAGTCTTCCTGTAATGGTGATCACAGTCAACCGTGACTCGACGCCACACTGCACACTGTTAATAGAATTTGATCAACATGGATAAAACAAACATGTTATTGTCTATTGCTACTTAGACAGTCAGTGTGAATATCACAGTCTGCGTTACTGTCTATCATGTATCGGATTGTTTAATGATAATGTATCAGACAGTGAAGTTTATTAACGACAGTGTGAAGTAAAAAAACACACCATTAGTTGCCTCAAAACTATATTTACACATTCCTAACTTATTTTAATAACAATGTCACTCAAGGGTATGGTTTCCAACCGATTACCTCTTATCACTTAACTGTTTTATTCTCCATTGTATTGTTTAATTTAATAATTATCAAAAGTATAGTTAAGTAAACCTGAAAATTTATTTGAAATTCATTCATTACAATTCATATTTCATTAATTGAAATCATGAGTCAATTGAAGCTAGACCACCATAGACAACCTGGAAGCACTGGACGGTCGTTTCGTCCAGTACCCCGTGAGATTCAAACCCAAAACCTATCGGTCTCGCGCCAAGCGCTTAATTTCCACAAACCCCTTTTAATAATATTCATGTTTAATGTATAATTTGTTTGAATATATGTTTATATATGCTATGAAGTGTGAATATCCATTATATTCATTTGTATAGGAAGTGATATAGTTGTCTAATTTGTAAATGATGAGATAACAGGAAGGAAAATGTCTGATTTCTTTGCTTAGAGTCTAATCAACCATGAAAACAAATGAAATATAGAATAACGAAAACCTTTAACAACTCAGATACTATTGATTATTCTATATACAAAACAAACAGTATTTTCATAAATTTGGCTCCTTTAATAAAATATAAATAAGCAATTAACAAATAGTTTTAATAATCATAATCACATCAGCCCTACAGTTGTCAAGACTAATGTTATTGATATATTTGAAGAGATTATGAGACCACTTAAAAATCGGTGAATAAAACGAAGGATCAGTGATAAAACACGACGAGATAGGCAAAATATTCTAGTGTGTCTCATCCACGTCAACTAGAAGGAGAAGTCCAGATTCTGTACCTGATAGTCACGTACGATCGGTTCACAGTGAATTTTAGAGAAAATATTATAATTGATCAGCTACAAGAAGTGAGAGTGCTAAGAAGTTCTTTTATTTGTGGTTGTGTTGATCAAATGACTTGTGGACCTTGTGAAGACTACTGTGGTGATGTTGTCTTTCGATGTAATATATGTTTGAGGGAGAACTCTACAAGACGAGGAACTCTATTCACTCGATCCAGGTTGAGACTAAAGCAAATTACTA